AATTAATAAATTTTGATGTAATTACATTATTTTTGATTGCTATTATATATTAATATTATATTATTATATATTATTTATTTATCATTAATTTGTTAATTATTATTAACTTTATTTGTTATTTTAAAATATAATTAAAATGTTAACAATTTAGAAATAATTGAAAAATACAAAAGTTTTAAAAATAATTTAAAAAACAGAAAATTAATAAAATTAATAAAATTATATAACAAGCAAAATATATAATATTGTTTTTTTTACTAGTTTAATTTAATTATTTATTTTATATATTTTATAATTTATATTATTTATATTATTTATATATTATTCTTAAATATATTTAGCTATTTAAATTATTTTTAAACTGTTTAGTAAATAAATTTGTCTGCTAAAATTTTTTAGCTTATTTTTGTATCAGCTTTACCTCTTAAAGCTAATATGTTATGTTAATATTCTTTCCAAATATTTAGCTCCTTGGATAAGTAATCTTTTTTATACAACTTTTCAACAGATGGTGCTTCCAGTCATACTTCACATTATAGTCGTTGGTTGCAAACACACAGTATTCCGGTTTTAGAATGGGCTGTCCAAAGTCCCAATTTAAATCCAATTGAGCATATATAGGATCATTTAGATCACCACATTAGAAAAGGGAACCTCTTTCGACCTCAAAAAGGATTAAATTGAGGTATTGAAAGAAGAATGGCAAAAAGTGCCTTTGATGCTGTATGAAATTTAATTTCCAGTATGCCGCGACGAGTTGCAGCTGTTATTAAAGCTAAAGGATCACATACACATTATTAGATTATTATATTCATATATTTTATAAATATCATTATTGGGTAAATTTAGTTTGAATAAAAAAGAAAATATAGATACTTTTTAGAATCAGAACATTTTGCTAATAATGCACGGTGATTTATCATAGGTCAGTGTAATAAAATCCTGAATGCATAACGATAATGACATATCAGCCGATTTGATTTTATATATCGACATTGTTTACGATTTATATTTACTTTGTCTAACCAATGGGCCGAGGCCCTTATGTGGGACCATTGCTTGGACATAATTGTTATAATTCAAATAAAATCGACTTTTACGAACTGTATAATTTAAATTTAAATTAGAGACTTGATTCGACTTTGGCTTTTTTTAAGTTTAAAACAGTTTAGACAAAAAATAGGTTCTGCTCATACTAAGATATCAAAATTTAGTTTAGGTCAGTATCATTATAATGAAAACTCAAACGCTTAATGACTCTTATTAACTGTGTGTGTAATTTAAAAGATATCGATATCGATATTGTTACACTTTGATAAAAAAAATAATTGCACAATTGTTCAAACTAAATAAAAAATTATCCATAGAATTTTACATTAACTATCAAGACATTACTCTTTGATATTAACAAACCACCACCATTATTCATTAGTAACGCTATTTTTTCTTTTTTGGAAAAATTCCAATTGTTCTTAAATACAAGAAATGGGCAATGTTCTAAGATTATCTGATAAGGTTTGTATAAATAAGAAATGATTGCGACACTAACTTTATTTAATTGGCTTTATTTTGCGAACTCTTTTTCACAGTTTTGTAATTGTTTTCTTTTGTAAAAGCTTGTAACGTGACGAAATCTCACATGCAGCGTTCAATTTTACGTTTTCGACTGCAATCGCTATTGTTAATGAATTTTAAAACAATGTGGTCAATCAAGCGATCTAGAAAAAACAATAATGCAAATCATCTGACCGCGACAATAAATACACAGCAAAAGCTGTCGGATTGTTATCCTCGTCTCTATTAACACAAATTCATGTCTGAAAAAAAGAATATACAATTCTCTTCATTCTATTTAAAAAACCATGATCAACAAAATAACGACAAGTCTTTTGTCACGAATTCATGTCAGTTTGATGGCAATACGTCGAGCTACGTTGTTGAAGTTGCGGACGAAAATGGTACTGCGATTCAAGGTTAGTTTGAATATGCATATAAATTTGACCTCTATGTACATTTTTTTGATTGACTTATAATAACAGATGGAGACGTATCCGGAAGTTCTATCGGTCACCAAGAAAACGAATCAAAACTAGAAGACATAGAGATCGAATCTAATTACGAATCTGAGCAAGTGCTAGATCTCTGTGAAATTATTCCCGGACTTTATCGCTTATTAGATTTGTGCAAAGATGAAGGATCAAATGGCCTTGGTATGTAAAGGTGTCGTGCTTTAAGATAAAGTTCTTTCTTAAATGTTAACAAAAATCGGCGATAAATGTTTATAGTGGATAAAATTATAATTTCACAACAACACGTGGAACGTCTTTGTCATGAACTGGTGCCAAATAGTTTCAAATCAATTTCCAAAATCGACTATAAAAAATTGAACTCTAAGCGTGTTCGTCTCGTCGGATGCTATGGTCGTAATGAAATGATTGCGAACTTTTTATTAAGAAAGAATATTATTGATCAAACAACGTAAGTTTTTGTTCACTTTAAATAATAAACGTTATAAATCGTTAACAATTGAAATCCATCTATCAAATGTTTTTAGTTACGGATGGTTGATAGCATCGGTAAGTTCAAAAAATGCTCACGGGGTCAATTCAATAAATATCGCTTTGAGACCTGGCATATATCTTCTTAAATTGCCTTCGGTTGAAGCTAATGCGAGCAATTTCGAACACCAATTCTTGGTAATACACTGGAGCGAGGATGGTTGTTATGAAGATTCTGCTTCCTCGTATCATAAAAAGAATCTTTCTAATATTCATAGGTAATAAATATCGTCTATTGATTTGATCCAATTAAACATAACGATAAAAATTTATGACTGTAAAAATGTATGTATATGCAGATACCTTACAAAACTTACCGAAAATCAAATATGCGTAATGAGTGAAACGGACTTGGACAATATTAACTGGCAAGAAGACGATTGTGATGAAAACGACATATGCTATGACTTTGAGGTAAAAAAAAGTCAGGAGCAAAAAGAAAATTTCGAGCTTTATCCTGGATTTGAGGTTCGTAATTGAACTTAGATCAAGTTGTTAAATATCTCGTACATTGTATATAGATTTTTTAATTTAGTTTTATCACAGATTCATATTCCAAAGATCAGCACACAAAGAAATAGTTTGACTAACGGAGGCATTCCTTCACCTCCTTTGATCGTTGAATCAGTTTCAAATCAAACATTGCTTACTCGTGAATTCTTTCCCACGAGTAAAGAGACTAAAGAAGACAACAAAAGATTTGACTCTATTGAAAAGCTTCGAGAATATTTTAAGATGAAACTTGAAACACAAAAATGCGCACTTCACTTAAATCGTCAAGCGTTGAAAATGGAAAATCTAGAGATTATTGTCAAAGACTGCTTAAACATGCCCGAACTCTTTGTACCGTATAATGATGCTATGAAAGCGTTGAACATAGAAAAATCCAAAGAAATAGCTGAAGCAAAAGAACCGATTAAGAAAAAGGCTGATATTATGGAGAAAATAGCTTGGCAGCTTTTACACGATTCGTATAGGTAAATTTTCTAATGATTGTTAAATGGAATATTTTTATATTCATTCATTCATTTTTAATTATAGCCGGTTTGAAGAAAGGATAACAGGTGTGAATCCAGGTAAATTATAATTTTCTACTGATGTTTCAAACGATCAAAAAACAAAACTTTTAATTTATACACCAATTTAAACTTTAAGGTCTTAATCCAAACCAGACAGTGGAACCGGTTGATGATGCGAGTAAGTTCTAATTCATTACATATCATAGCGATCAAGCTAATTTTATCGTTATCCTAAATAGCTTTTATAGAATTACGAGATGAATATCCACATATATGTAGTGAAATTCAAGCAGCTGTAAAACGTATCAACAATGTTTCATGGCAAGGGATCAAAAAGAGATATATTTTTGCAAGGTTATGCACCATTTACAACCAAACTTCATTAAACAGTAAAGGGTTCACACTTTTGGATATTTTTTTCGATGAAACTAAAGATCTTCATTCACTTATAAAAAAATTAATACAAACCGGAAAAGAAGGAAAAGTCAAGAAAGTTATTAATTTCATCATTGGTGGTAAAATAAAAAAGAGCGCTTACGAAATATTTATAAGCCTCGATGAACAAGAAAAGTTGATTTCTGATGACGTCTTTACCAGACAACTTATTGAAGATAACGTTGATATGCGTATATTATTAGAATTCTTCAAAAAATATGAGAGTTGGCGAAAGAATATATTCTCCAGCATAGTAAAGACTATTTCGCAAAAAATTTTGAGTCATGACTATATTTCGACTCGTATTACACCCATCGAGGATAAATTCCGTCTGAAGGAGTGTGATATCCAATCCGAAAATGTGAAAAGAATTTGCACTGAAACTGAGTCGAAATATCCCAACGGCGCACTTTTTTTAGTTTTAGGATTAGAAAAACAACAAGGTGGTTTAAGTTTGAATAAACTTTATAAGAAATTCTCATGGCTTATTTTCTTTTATTTTCAAGGAAATTGGCGGCATGCACCTTATAAACTATTACGTAAAATTGAAACAACTCGTCCAGAACGATTACGAATTACGCTTTTTCAAACTCAATTGAGCGAGCAAGATACGTTAGAACTTGAAAGAAATGCGTTTCACATACCTAAACCGATTCTGTACACGCACGGAAAAAATGTTTTAATCATTGATCCGGAGATCTTTGAATTCAGGTGAATACTCGGGTTATCGTTATATAACTACATTTTTATCAGCCACAACTTCTAGTCGTTTAATTATTAACGTTAACAAAATCCAGGCATATCGCACAATTGGGAAAAAGATTTCTAGTATTTCTATGGAATAAAAACCTCAAAAGGCTAGAAATATATTTTAATACCATTGATCGTTTAACAGAAACAATATCCCACCAAAACGCAATCAAAAAAATTAATCCGGGCGAACATTTTATGATTGCGGTTAACGAGCCGAAAGGATTGATAGGAATTTATAGTGCTGAAAAAGGCGTGGTAAAAATAGTTTAGACTGGTATTATCAATTTCATCAATACTAATTGAACTCACCAATTATCTTTTAGTTAAATACATATAGCTTTGAGCAAGGTCAGACCAATTTGCATCTTTATTATCGCAATATTCAACTCTTGCCATGGTATAACGATGCGGTGCCAGATATCTCGCATTTCTTTTTCATAAAAAACACTGAGGATATATGCTTTGTTGAAAGAGACGGTCGTGCCCGTATTTACAATTTAGTAAATGATAGCTTTCTTCCAGGGATCATACACATCCCGCCTGATGCTATCAATGTTCGTAGTACCCCTGATGGCACATGCATCGTAGCTTTTGTTAAAGAAGAAGAAATAAACGATGAACTAAAAATTACAATATCAAGGCAACTAGGTAGAAACTTTGAGAGCAAGGATGAGAAGAAAGGTAAAGCGATTTCATAACGGAAACACTTTTTAAACACGTGATTGATTTTATATTGACTCTAGTCTGCACTTTAAATTAGTTCGATGTTACGTGTATTTTTGCGGAAACTTTAGCCAACGTGCCAGTAAAATTGTCGATGTTCCTTTCACTAAATCTCCTGAAATATTTCAATTTTCCATGTTTGAAAATCGTCAAATGCATTTGACTACAATTGATCAAGAAAAAGGCATTTTTAATTCAGCCATAGTAAAAATTACTCACGCAAAAACGCAATATTGCTTCGAAAGACAACAAAAATCTCCCAATAAAGTTAAAGTGGAAAGTCGACAGCCATTCGTTGTTGTTGGAAATGAGACCTACTTTACTCGTGGTATCCATGTAGGGGATTTAATAGTGATTGAAAATGAAAAACAGCAAATAATCGAAATTATAAACAATACTGCATTAAGAGTTTCCAGTCAATTTGTTCACATCGAATTTGGAGTTTGGAAAAAATTTAGCATTGAGACACGAACGGTCAATGGACTTCTCGATGTTTACTCAATGGTATTCACAAAATACGCGGTGACAAGTTCAATCGGTCGCGTAGACAATAATCCATTGTCACTTACAGTTGTAGTAGAGAATTCGATCAAAAACTCAGAAATAAAAAAATACACAGCTAAAATTCAAAACTATATTGCGAAAATGTTTGCAAAGTTTGAAAGAGAAACGAAGAAGCCACTCGGCCATTTGGAAAAGTTTAATATCAGATTTGCAACTTTTCAAGACCTTCACGTTAAGAATAATTCTAATATTTATGAACTTGGCGAGTGAGTATTTCTCTATTGATATAACCCAAAATAATCATTGAGCGCTAAATTTATGTAATCTGATATCGATATAGATGGATGATCGATTTCTTTTGCTTAATTCCGTTACAAATTGCTGTAACCCGTGATAATAAATTTATTCCTCTTCAGGATGGTCTTTTTTCTTCTGATATAGAAAAACCATCAGTAGAAGAAGGCATTGGGTTTATCGGAAGTGTCAGTAAAGCTATTTCTTTTGGATGGTATGAAGCTATCTTTGAGCATTATGCACATTTAAAGGTGAAAGTTATTTCTTCGATGGGTGAACAATCGTGCGGTAAGAGAAATAATAATAATACTCTTATATCATGATGCGTATGTAGTGAACTCATATTTATTCGATATTTTCATTAATAGGGAAAAGTTATTTATTAAATCATCTTCTCGGTTCGACTTTTGATGGCTCTGCAATGGTAATACTGTATATAGTTAAAAGAATCGACTCATATGATGGATCATTTTTACTGATTGTTTGTTTTTATAATAACAAAGCGTTGCACCGAAGGAGTTTGGATGTCACTTGGTAAGAAAATCTTCATTATTAGCACTATTTGTTTTAACGTTTGAACATTTGAAGTAAATTTAATGCAATTATTTTATAATAGTAATAACCGACAAAATTCTTTATGTTGCGCTTGATTTTGAAGGTCAGTTCTTGTGGTTATAAATGATTAATCGAACATGTTGATACAATTTTAAATATTATAGGTCTTGCTAGCATTGAAAGAACACCACAGGAAGAAACTTTTCTGCAGTTACTCAATGCAGCACTCTCCAACCTTGTCTTATTTAAAAGTCAGTTTGCCGTGAGTCGGGATATATCTTCGATGTTTCAACGATTTCAAGATAGTACCAATTATTTCAGAGATGATCCAGACATATTTCAGGTTGTAAATAGTAAATATTTTACTAAATAAATAGATTTATTATTAATAATATCGATGTTTTTCATAAAGGCAAGGTTTTGCATTATAATCAAGGATGTAGCCAAATCTGATCACGAGGGTATTGTTTCGGAATTCTATTCGAAGTTTTCGAAAATAGTCGATAAAGTAAGTTTCGAATGATCTAAATCTTTATAGAAATTGTGAACATTCTCTCACTTAATAATTGAATCTCAGGAGGAGGAAAATAACTTTATTACGAAGCTTTATCGAAACAAGATGAGCATTATTCCTTGGCCAGTTTTCAACGAATCATCCTTTTACACCACTTTCAAACAGTTAAAAATGAAATTAGACAACCAAGATTCCCAATATAAAAATGCGAAAATATTTGTAGAGAAAATAAAGGTATGGAATCATGCAATTTTGTTCCATGTAATTCAAGTTTCGAATAAGATTCTGATTTTGGTCTCTTTCAGGTTTTAATGACGAAACTAAAGTAATGCATCATATTGTTGGTCTTCAATGCTAATATTGTTTAAACTGAAGTTAATTCGTTTTATTCTTTAATATAGAGCTTGTGATTGGGGAAGTGTTCAAGAAACATTGATTACAATGCGAACACTGGAATTGAGAAGGCTTATGAGAAATGCGATATCTCAGGGTTTTGAGCAAAAAGAAGAAGACCCATTTTTATCATCAGAAAATATAACACAACCAGCTTATAATATAAAGCATTTAGTGGTAAATTATATAACAATTTATTTTTTTATTCTTATGAATAGCTAAAGAATGGTTTGTTTATTAGGGTCGAGATGATGGGAAATCGATACTTGATCCTGAATCATTCTTATCAGATATTTTTAACGACATTGACGGACCAATTAAATTAATGCCTGATGCTGGTCTTGTCTTGCTGAAAGATGATGTGAATCTTGGCGAACTTTCATTAGGTATATCGATATCGATATATTCTATCGTTCAAACTTCATCAAAACAAAAAGAAATTCTAATTAAATATCCAATTTTCTGCAGAATTAAGAAATTTCTTTGAAGAAAACATTCAAGCTCGTGAACAATCATCCGATTCTCGATGGTTGGATCGTTTAGAGACATTTTACAAATTTATCATCGACCGACGTGTTAAACGCGTTCAACAGTGGTTCGCTCAGAATACTTCTCAATTTCCGAATGATCACAATGAAATTGTCATCGCGAAATACGCTCTAGAACAAGAAATTACTCATCTCAAGCTATTTTGGCATTTCTGTCGTCTACGGTGTGAAAATTGTGGACTCGTATGTCTTAAAGCAAGCCGACATAATGATAATGAAGACGATGCGACTCACGACTGTTTAACTGATCATGAATGCTATTCGGCCTGCCAATTTCAAGAAACTCATTTTGACAAAACTATGCCAAAATGTACAAAATTTGCTGGACATGAAGGATGTCACGCTTGTTCGGCGAAACATTCATGCGAAGCACCGTGTATCTATAACGGAAAGAGAAATTGTCAGTTAAAGTGCACAAAAGATATTGGCCACGAAACTATGACAGGAAATGAAGTCCATTTGTGCGAAGCAACTCGTCATTATTGCGGTGCTCCATGTTCATTAAAGGCTGATACTCGAAACGGAAATTATGAATGTCGTAACACTTGCATAGTAAGTTGTCTCTTTCTAAATACAGTAGTCGAGTTTATGTCGTATTAAAAATTTTGCACCTTTGAAATAGATTCCTTGTGAAGAATTTCACCAAGTGCACAAATGTGAGAATGAAGTTTGTCCAATCGAATGCCCAATAGCCACATGTCGTCGGAGATGCGAAAGTAGAAAACACTTCCATGCATTCGAGGAAAATGTGGAGCATTTTTGCGGGTCTGTAATTTTTCATTCGATATTCTCTATAAAATACCGAATATTTACCAGTATAAAATGTTAGTGAGGAGCATCAGTGCCCTAACGAATGCGAAGAATTGGGAATTTGTAAAATTTTTACTGAACCAACCGCAATTGTAAAGGAAGAAGCAGAATATGTGAATCAATTTGGAAGCTTTATGTTTACTAAAGTAAAATCGTCTTTTGTTTTTTTACTGAGTTCTTTTTATTAATAAATAATGATATACTAAACACCATTTTAAATAATTAAGTATTCCCAAAATGCCCAAAGACTTCCTTGTTGCATCAAGATACCTCCATATGAATTCAAGCATGAAGGGAAACATGTACATGTACACGAGAAAATGCACAAATGTGATGCAACCTGTCCGGAAGATTGGGGTGAACACGTTAAAAAACATAATATTCACTTTTGCGATGTTAAGTGTCCACATTGCGCTTATTATGTAGGTTTCGAGATATTTTAGAATTGGGTTAAATTTTATTTTGTTTTACTAATCAGTTTTTATCTAGTGTACATTACCTTACGATCATAATAGTGAACATGGTAATAACCGCGAAAATATTTGATTAATTCTTTATTTATGCTCGACTAATTCAAATATTTTTTAGACACTGTTCACGGAAATATGTACTTGACAACATTCACGTGTGAAGAAGAAGAATTCGAATTTGAAGGTAACTCTTTTACCTGTCCTGTTAGCTATTGAAACAATACAAAATTTTAAATGATTAATTGTTTAGGACATCGATTGACTGTCGGTGATAGAGGCGATTTTGTGCTTTGTCATAAAGTATGTATATATCGAGAGTTTTCCGGTAGAAAAGGGTTGGTACACTAGTGGTTTTTTTTACTTGGAAACTAAATAGTGTACCAGCTCTTTTCTACCTTAGGAAATTAATATTAATTTGAAACTTTTTAGCTTTGTGAAAATATAGGTCGTCATCGTCATATAGATTTTTGCAAAGATCCGGCTGTTTGCAAAAATCTCCCTGGTGGAAAAAAAGAAGGGTTATTAGAGCACATAGAGGGTTTGTTGGTTTAAATTTTCCTTTTGTTTTATTTCACAATGTGCTAATACAAGTGAATTTCAGCAAATATAAGTCCTGATCCGGCTCGCAAGAAAGATTATATTTCTCATCGAGTTTTCTGGGAGAGAACTAAATTTCGGGGTAACTAACCACAGGTTAAATGCTAATCCTCTGTAAATAGATATTAAACTATTATATCTCGAATTTAACTAGATCCATATTTGTTGAGCAGTCGTGAAAATTTCAAAGGATGTGATCATGAATGCGCCGACGAAAAACATCATAAATCTATTGAAACAGATCCAATAAAGTCATTCTGTACTCGGGAACTATTTCATCCTGGATTAGATCCAAGTTCAAATCCTCCAGAAAATATTGGATATATTACAACAGACGGTCATCATTTCTCTTGCGAAAACCCGGCGACAGATTTTCATATTGTATTCGTTTTGGATAGAAGTAGCTCTATGTCTTCTGAAGACTGTAAACCTCTTCACCAAAGATCAACAACATCTCGTTTGCTTCGTAATCATCAAAATCGATTAGGCGCCGTCTACGAAGCAGTGCATACTTTCTTTAGAACGCGTAAAAACTCTGGAAAAGCTACCCGCATTGGAGCTGTAGATCGCGATATAACTTCTCTGATTCTGTTTAATAGCGTAGCAACTGTTGTTTTTGAAAATCAAAGCTTATCTAATATAGAAGAGCTTTTAAACAAGATGATGAAATTCACACCAACTGGAAATACTTCTTACTATGAAGGATTAAAAAAAGCATCTGAAATCATTGAAAAGTATCACGATCCGAAAAGGTAAGTGATTCATTAAAACTTATCATCATGATACACTTGACTAAAAATTTTATTTTACTTAGAACCAACGTGATTATCTTTCTGTCTGATGGTCTATGTAAGACACCGGAATCTGAACTACGAAATCTTTGCCAAAGAGAGGTTAACAAAGGGTAAATATATCGATATGCTAGATTGTCTGTAATCTCAAAATAAAACAGATTTTCTAACAATACTTACTTTATTAGAACTCCGTTGTATTTATATACAGTTCTGTTCAATTCTTATGCTGCTAAAAGTGAGGTTGACAAAGGGTAAATACGTATATGTTATCGTTATGTTATCGTTATGTTCGTAATCTCATAATGGAACAGATTTTCTAACAACCTTTACTTTATTAGATATTTCTATAATCTGCTCAATTCTCATAATAATTGGAACCAATCACTTCAAGAAATGGCGGCTATTGCAACGGAATATCTTCCTCAATCTACTGGCAGAGACGCCTTAAAATGTAAATATACACTTGCAATAGATGAAATCGAACTCACTAAGTATTTTACCAAAGTAGCCGAAAGTTTGCGTAAACATCAACCAATACTCATGAGGAAATAATTCTCTTATTAATTTAAACTGATGTAAAAAAAAGCAATCAGTTTTTATTCGTAGTGTATAAGCGTTTACATAATCTGTAATGTTGTTTTGGCTATTCTCTCATAAATAGATAATATGTGATAAATGAATAGCAATTATGAATAAATTCGCTCTTTGAAAATTATTTAAGAATCATTTTTATAAAGGAAGAAACGGTAACAGTAAAGTACGTACATGTATTTGGAACCCGCCAGTGGAGTGCATGATAAGTATAATGTTTAAAATTACCAAAGGAAGATGGCAACAAATATTATAGTACAAATTCTATACCAAATTCTCGTTTATGTAATTATATACGCCAGCACATAATCTTTGTGTGTAGATGAAATTTGGGAGATATTCTGTTTCCTAAGATATACGAATCGAAGTTTTGAAGCAATGTTATTTTGTATCTGTATTATATATAAACTTTATTAAGCAAGTTTGCCACTTTCCCGATGCGATATTTACGAAAATATTCTTTCTTCAAATTGAATTTTTCAATAATTTTATTTTCACAAACAAATATTTAGAAATAAATGAGTCTATTAAACAATGTCAATTTCATATCAACAAAGCATTCAGTTTCAGTTTTGGCAACTTTATATGTCCAATTTTTTTGAATTGGAATTGGACATATTTCAAATTGACCTATGTCCAATTGAAAATGTGGCGCAGTTTTATTATGTCCAATTGGACCAATTGCAGTTTTGTTGTGCAATATGGCCGTAAAGAAAAATTGTCTCAGACCCAATGGATAAAATAACCTACAGACTAAGGAATAGGCTCGTGACAACATAGCCTGTAGAAAATTTAACCTCAAGGCTATTAATTTAATAACAAAAAGTTTTGAAGAAATTGAACCATGAATTTTGTTTTATTTATTTGCAGAAAAATATTTCATGTAACAAAATTGATTCGTGTATAATCTTTTATTCGAAATTACAGCAAATACAAAATAATATCGATATTAATCATCTTAATTTTTGCAACAGTTAAGGAATAATGTTGTTTATGAGATAAATATGGATATTTATTTGTATTTTAATCATTATTCTTTCAAAAAGCAAAGTAGAAAATCATAAGCCAATTGATACTATTTGCAATCTTTTGGTGTCTTGCACTATTGATCGGGATCCATTTTCAACAAAGATGTCATCAAAATATGAAAGAATGACAAATCAAGTGCATGTTCTATTGTGGCATCGATAATTAAGTGGATCATGATTACTGTAGTTAAAAGCACATTTTGATTAAAATAATACAACCAATAGATTTATTATTAGATCAGTTAATAAAGCCGCGTACGTAGTAAACATTTAATTCGAGAAAAAAAAATAGTTTGAAGAGAATAAATATATGGACGCATATAATGTTGAATACTTTGCAATATTAAAATGATCGTGAATTTCGACGAACAATTTTTAATATTACAACGACCTCTAGCTTAGATATTTGTTGGTTGTTTCGTTGATTAATTCTAAGTTAGGCAACACAAACCGAAACTTATATGTATTTTAATAGTGCAGACTTTTACTATTTGTTACTTGATTGATGCTTAATTATTACATAATCAACGAATGATCTAACGGAGCGAAAGTGCATACTTCAATGGCCATGATCCGATCAAAATTAAAGCAGCTCATGATATGCTATGGTTACCAGTTCGCCCCCCGGTTAATATACCTGTTACTATGGACATTCACATAATATGACGAAAAAAACAATGGCAACTACTATAATGATAAAGAATTTTGTACCAGCATGCGATTAAGTTGGAATTCTCAGAATAAAAAATGGTGAAATTCGTTTCGTTCATTTCTGAGCTTCTAGTTTTAATATTATATTTACGTCATGATCGAATTTATTTATTCAATACTATGACCAAAACCCTGTCCGATAACGTAATATGGACTGTAGTTTGGATGATGTTTGTGGTGGAATTATACGAAATTTTAAGTTGGAGCGAAAGCGCGTAATGTTCAACACAAAACGAAGATACATAAAAAATAATTATAAGGCAAATACGCGCTAGATCCAAAAGCGTTTGGATCGAATGCTAGAATTGATAAAACTCCGAAGCAATTGAGAAATCAGTATGAAACGCATATAGGAACAAGATGCCAAGAAATATTTAATTATGCTAATCATTTAAATTAAGTAAAAATCCAAACCTACTCTGTTGGTTCAAATGGTTATATGCTATTTATAAAACTCGAATAACAAAAGTTTCATGCTTCACTATGCATGTAAAAAGGAATCTTTTTGTATAATAATATAATAATAACGATAACAATAAACATTAACAATAATACATGTATACGCTTTGTCCCACTTGAAGCGGATATACGTAGTTAACAAATAAAAATACATGCAATATATACTGAACCACTCGTTTTTCTGTTTAGTTGTAACACAACGTTTCAAAGAACGATTTATTTCTATTTTAGTAAATATTGAACAGCCAAATTTATTAATTACTCGTGCGTGTAGTGCAGATTTCCGCCTATTAGTCTTTTATAAAATGAAGACAGTTCTCGAGTTTTTTCTCTATTTTACCAATTACGTTTGGAAACATTCATCATCCACATTCACTCCTCCTCGTATCCTTACATCTTAGTCCGTTCATTCTTTACTGTCAAACTTCATAAATCTTCGTTTATTTCTACATAAAATTCAAGGCGGTGCCTTTATTTTTCTCACTCATCTAAAAAAAAGGATATCGAACAAATACCCAAAATAAACTCAATCCTTTTCCATCAAAACTAATCCAAAATGATTTCTAGTCGCTCTCTTATTGTTGTATTTTTCGCGGTATTGTTGACTCTTGGTAGTTTTATTAACGCTGCTCCATCGAAAAGAGGAATAGATGACATTATTGAAAACGAAACTCCATTACCTTCCTCTTCCAATCCAAATGGCCAAAAAGGAAATAACAATCCGCCCTCTCCGCCCTCTCCGCCTTCTCCGCCTTCTCCGCCTTCTCCACACTCTCCACTCTATCTACCAAGTGATCCGTTTAATGTTACAAATTCAGGCCCAGCCAACGTCACAGAAATTTCATCAAATGTCACTTCTTCAATTAATTCGACAATGTCCTCAGCAAATAGCACTGCAAGTTCATCGAACTCAACTACAATAAATCCCAATAAATCTAGTAATTCAACAGGCATCACCAACTCCAACTCCACCACTACTAAAAATAATGGTGATAGTTCAAACGGCGGTAAATCAACTAAATCTTCTGATAACGAAAACTCAAGTTCTACTGTCGTGACAACAGTTGTTTCCAAAGGTAATAATGAAGGAAATAGTACAAGCTCTGCCAACCCATCCTTTTTGACGGGAAATCATGGATATTCTATCAGTTTATTGGCAACCGCTTCCATTCTATTTGGCTCCATTTTAATTTAAAGAACTTTTTCTAGAATTAATTTATAGTACTCGTAGAATACTAATAGAGTCTTAAATGATAATGGCGACTTGCAGTTTTTATTAGAGATCTAATTTTTATTTTTATAATGTACAAAAATTTGGAGTAAAGTTATTTCTATAGTGCATAGAAGACAAAATAAAACAAAAGTTTGTATATCGCAAAATATCGTGTTTTGTAAATGATATGTCATTTAAAACCATCAAAAAATTAGAACTCATGATGGTGATGTGTGTGTTTCGCTCCAAATACATGTATATGTATGTATTAATATGATTTTATCACTGATGAAATACGCCACAAGAAATTTTGTACGTGAATTGCTGAAATCTATAACGATAACCTTGTACATGTACGGATATTATCATATACGTATCGATATTCATGCATAACAAAAATTGTAGAATAATTTTTCGTTAATAACTTTTATTTTACTAAGACACTTGTATTTTGTGTCTTAAGTAGAGTTGTTCGGAATGTAATTGTGTATATATTTACAAATTTTTGTGTAATTTGGATTAAAATTGAACGAGAAATAACGATTTTTAGTCTGACGCGAGATATTTCGGGTTGGGTCACGGATTTGACCCGATCCAATTGGAGCATTACGATTATGTACAAATTTTTGTGTAATTTAGATTAAAATTGAATGAGAAAGAACGATTTTTAGTCTAACGCGAGATATTTCGGGTCGGGTCACGGATTTGACCCGATCCAATTGGAGCATTACGATTATATATCGATATGTACAAATTTGTTTGTTAGAATTAGATACATGTAATGAGAATTACTGCGCATGATAAACAGGTATTTGACGCAGCTCACTGATGTCACACTAATCTCCCGAGATATTTAATTCCCGCAACAACAATAAAACGGTAAATGCAAATTGTAGATCTTGATAATGGGTCTTTTAATATAAAATGTGAGAGGATTCTTTCAAAACAAAACAAAACAACCACTAAATAAGAAACAATGCCCAACTACATCGAATTATTTCAGCCAGTCCGGGATCTATTCAATCAACATGCCATTCAGACAGTTTTAATGGCATGGCTGCCAACCAAACTTGCCCCTCATCTTACACAAAACATGTCGGTTGATATGTTTGTAATAAGTGCATCAGCCACGGTACTTACCGCATTATTGTTATCGTTCTTTGGATTATGTTATAGTTTATATTCCGGCTCTTTGCCTTGGCATCAAAATACGATCACAGTTCAAGTTGAATATTACGAAACGGGAATTTACGGTGATCAATCAATATCGGTATTATACGAGGCACTGTCTTGGTTAATTAGTGGTCAAACTCAAAAACTACGAAAAGGACAATTTATAGTACAACCAAAAGCTTTACATTGGGATGAAATCGTTGAAGATGATTGTAAACCTCCGGATTTTAATATGCTGCCTGAACCTAATCAAGAGGTCGAGGTCGAATACAAAAATCGTAAATTCAAGGTATTTCTTAGAAAGCCGGAAGAAGACGAAGCTAACAACAATAACGGCAATAACAACGTCAATAATAGCAACCCAGATGCAGCAAAACCAATGCCATCAATTTATTTGACCACAATCGAAGATAAACACGCACAACTCAATGTCGTCTCAGATTTTATTAATGAGGTGACACGTGCTTATCTCGAGGACAAGAAAAAGAAAAAGACCCGTGGACGATACGAACGTACTGACGGTTATTGGTATCGAGTTCAAGCATTGGGTGCCAGCCGAGGATTAGAAACGGTAGCGTTGGACGAAAATTATGAGAAATTATTAAACAAGGAATTAAACACCTTTGTTAATGATAAAGATTTTTATGCTCGTATTGGAATGCCTTATCGTCGTGGAATCCTTTTATACGGAAGACCAGGAACCGGCAAAACAAGCCTCATTAATGCTATTTCGGCTCACCTTAATCGTGACCTTTACTTTATCAATTTGAAAAATGTTAAACTAGACAATGAATTGAGTTCGGCATTTAGTGGTGTTCCACCCAATCAAATCATTGTTCTAGAAGATATTGACACGATGTCTAAAGTTGTCCATAAACGAGCACGAAACTCAAAGCCAGCTGTTTTTTCTGTGTTACCCGAAGATTCCTCGAATAGTGGAGATGGAGACAAGACGAGTGGAACATCTGGTCCGTCATATTCATCAAATTTCAGTCTCTCGACTTTTCTAAGTTGCCTTGACGGTCATATTTTGTCCGAAGGAAATATTATCATCATGACTACGAACCACGTGGAACAGCTTGATCCAGCAGTTATTCGTCCAGGTCGTATGGATGTCAGATTAGACCTTGGCTACTGCACTCATTACCAAATCAATAAAATGTATCAAAGCATTCTCGAAGACAAAATCGCAGAATTTCCCAAAGAAATTCTCGATAAAATCCCGGAACGTATATTACCTCCGTGTGAAGTTATGATGAAAATGGTGCTATATCGAAGTGAGCCTGAATTAATTCCGGAAAACGTTTTGGAATTGGTTGATATTTACCGGGAAAGAGAATATATTCCACTCGAGGATCTTATAATTGAAGACGAAGAAGAAAACAAAGAAAAGAAAAACGATGAGAATGTTGTTGAAGCTTCGGGAAGTGAAAAAGCTAAAGATGAAACTTCTGAAAAAGACGAAGTTACCAAAAAAACTGATACAAAAACAGACATTAAAATAGACAATAAATCAAATAAATTAATAATTACCACAGTCACGACAACCACCACCTCCATTGACACTGATAATTTAGATCCTATAGACGAGGATAAGGACACTGATAGTGATACAAGTACCATAATAGATTCATTATCTACAGAAACGACAAAAGAAAGTTTAGTTGATGATAAATGCAAAAAAACAAAGATAAAAAATAATAAAATTGTAACAATAGTCACACATGTATAAGAAAACCTTTCAAAATAAGTTGTATTTTTAAAGAATAGTATTAACAAACTCACATTTAATTCGACTCTAACTTCCAATAAAATAACACAAACTATACTTGAAATCGACATTTTCGACATGCCTATATAACAGTAGCACATCGTCTCGGTGTGTGTTGTGAATTCGGATGATAAATTATTTAAATACGTAAGGGAATTACACAATTGCTATCTGAAATCTACGCATTCGATAATATTTTGAACTAATGATAGTTAGCTTCAATTTTACACGTAATATTGAATATCAGTAAGCAGATATTTTATTCTTTTGCGCATTTAGTTTCCACATTCCGTTGATTAAACTAAATACAGATTTATAAATCTAAGAAATACCACAATGATGATTTAACTACAAAGGTGGATATTCTTAACGTTAATGAAAGTAAGAAATAATATAACGATAAAGTTTTATTAGGATTTTGAAAAAACTAACGTTAAATCGCGTTTTACAGTAGAAATGTAAGGTCAATTATTTTAAAAAAAAGCTTGACGAATAAAAAATGGATAAATATAAAACGACTATCTTATTCTTGGTTTCAAATGAATAAAAAACTCTTCACACTTATTAGTACCATTATATTTAATCTTCAAATCCTGACCTTCATTCAACAATTCTACCTCGTATTTGGTGAAAATCAACACCATAAAAGTTTTTACAATAATCATACTCAATTTACGACCCATGCACGCGCGAACTCCACGTCCAAACATGAGAAATGTGTTTTTTGTTTCGGGAACAAGTTCGTTTCCGTCAGCAGAAATAAATCTTTCAGGTTTGAAACTGTGTGGATCAGTCCAATGTAACGTATTCATATGAATTCCGTGAATATTGATGCCTATATTGGTGCCAGCTGGCCAATGAAAGCCACCTAATTCATCAGGACTTTCAGAATATCGGCTAGTTATGGGAACGAAAGGTATCGATCGATTCGTTTCTTTTATGACTGCTTCACAATAAACGAGTTTATTCAGGGATTGAGTGGTGACTGGCTGTTCAAGATTAGGTCCGAATATTTTTTCGATTTCTTCGACTAAGAGTTTTTTTACATGAGGATTTTTGCAGACAAAATAAATTATAGAGCATATTGTGCTGGAAGTCTATTTTGAAATAGAAACGATCAATATTATAAAACATAATTAAAACATAAAAATATAATAAGACATTAACTGAATCGATTCCAGCAAGAAAAATTTCAATTAAAAAGTGTTGTATTTCGTGTCTATCAAAAGGCCTCAAAATTTCTTGGGGAAATTTTTCAATCGAATCCCTCACAAGTAGCAATAGCGTCAGCAGGTCCGCATCCAATGCTTTGTCTGGCGCCCAATTGTTGATTGCCTTTATACGCTGCTCGATAATTTCATCCAATATTACATCCAATTGTTTTTTACTATTCAGATACTTTGCGGTACGTGTCTTAAACCAAGGCAAATGATATCTAATCCAACGCGGAATCAGACAAAAGTAATTCATCATTTCCATGAAATCATCAATTCGGTCTATAATTTCTTCTATTTGGTTAGGTGACGACTCGAAGGATGGTGAGGTGCCGATAATTGTTTTGAATACAAAATTTGCGACAATAAGTTTCGACCAACAAGCCATATCAATTTTGGTGCCTACTTTTAACCAATGATCTTCAGCATTTCGAAAAATTTTCTGGATTTCGGAGAGATAAAGATCGAAGTGTTTGGGAGCCGTAAAAGTTTGAATCAATATTTTGTGGTTTAGACGCCATTTATCAAAGTTACGATTGTGCACGAATCCAGCAGAATCGATTCCTAATTCACTTAACCCATCATTCAGACCACTCTATAGAAAATAAAAAATTAAATTATACAACAGACAAAATACGATGAAAATTTCATTCGATGAAAAACTCACATGATGAAAATAATTTGTATTCATAGAATTCGACATAATTTTATCTAAATAATCCGCTCGACCGAGATAAATATATCTTTCACAACCGATATATATCTCAAAAATGTCACCATATTTTGCTTGAATCTGGTTAAGGAATTTCGAGAAATTGAAGTTGCGATGTATTTGATAAAGATTTCCGAAAATCGGAATCGGTAATGGACCCGGTAGAGGATTTGATCGGGTGAAATAGCGGAAATAGTATATTGCTATTTGGCCAATAGCCAAAAAGACAAATATGTACATTAACTCAGTAAGGGATGGAGAAAAGAACATGTCTTTTATTTAATGAATGGGATTTGTTGAAAGGAGACATAATTTTAATTGACAGTTTCTTTATATATATTGGTTCTTTTTTATGCCCATACTGATGCTTATGATTTTGTTGATGCATTTTGCATCATTATCACCTATAAATTTTTCTGTTTTACTTGGCAATATACATATCCTTTATGCTCAACCGATATTTTGATTTCGGGAAACATATTTTATTACAGTGTTTTCTTGCCAAATGAATTGGATGCGCGCGTAATCAGAAAGATTAATATTCTAAATCATTACGTAAAAGCCTCTAAATTTCTTCGGCAGGGTATTTCGTTGAACGCGTCTGGTGGGTGACCAGTCGTTAATTACTGTTCAGTAATTTCATTCAACTTATATCAGTATCAAGCAAAAGTAATTTGTCATTTCTTCTATTTAGTTACGTGATGATTTTAAGGACGTTTTATCGCTATCACCGTGTTATAAATCGTAGATTCGATGATTAGTTTAATTTGACTGTCTAAATTACATTGTAAACCTAAGATTTGAGGGGGGACGGTGTCAAACTTCGCTCATATATCATTTTACAAGTTTTAGTTACCCTAAAAGCTGTACCTTTAAAGATCGGTTTCAGTGTTAGGCTGTGTTTCAACTACCCCTCAAGATTTGCTGCGCAACCAATGATGATGCGTGAAATTTGCCAATAAAAATGTGCAAATTTTTGATCAACCCGGCAAAATGAATCCGACGCAAGGAAATGAAAAATGTGAAAAATATAGGAAACATATGCTTAAAACTAGCTTGGTGCACTAATAAAAAATGTCGGTGAGGCAATTTTACATTTAATTAACATGCAAAACAAACAATTTGCGCAGAAAATCTTAGGATAGTTCTGTTGAGGCAATGCTAGCGAATAAGCAGATCATGTTCGTTAGGCTGTGTTTAACGTCGTCGAGGCAATGCTATTTTCTCTATGAAAAATAAAAATAGCCAATCAAAAATGTGTAGCCATATTTTCTAAATGACAAATAGCTAATCGAAAAATGTGCAGTCACACTTGCTAAATGAAAAATAGCTGATTTAGAAATATATCGATATACAGTGGCGATCATAAATAATGCAACAAAAAAATAAAATCAGTCAAATTGAAATATTTCGCGCAACTTTGGAGATATCCTCTTTTTTTTTTTTGATAGTTTTATTCGTTAATAGTGTCGTTTTTATATATTAAAATCTTAGTAATCGTTGTTATGTCCAATCCCAGGATAAATACGTGAGTAGTACAAAACACATGTTGCATTACATATGATCATTTTATGCAAAATCGAATGATGATTGTTGTGCTACATAAATATCATATAAAAGGAAAATTTATTGCATATTATTTACATGTTCTACCATGTTACAGCTTTTTAATCAAAAAGCTAAGGTGAAAATGCCCATACGACTCTAGAAGAAAGGGCTCAAATTCTCCTTTTTCTTCAAAATGGAACATTACAAGACAAATAGCAAAGTCAAAAAATATTGATCCCTCAACAGTTTAATATTATTTTTCAGAAGAACTCTATTCTTTGTTTAAAAAAGATAATGTTATCATTTCAACAAAAATTTTGTAATTCCATAATTTTTATGATACATATATCACAAATTATGTATGTATGATATATCATAATTTTGTCCAATGCTATTTCATGTATATTACTTCCTTTTTGATTAATAATTAAAATATGTAATAAATAATCAACAAATTACGTATTGTTATACATTTTTCACTAATTGAGTAATTAGCTAATAAATGCAAACAAGAGTTAGGAGAAATAATTAAACAAATATAAGAATAATATAAAAATAATATCTAAGTCCTATGTCAATTTCTACTGAAATTATTATAGTTTGAGAGGGAGAAAAAGATAAAGTAATAATGTTTCAATTAAATATAGTATTCTGAATAACTATACTAATTAATTAATTTACAAATTATTTAATTAAAGTGACTAATAGTTTAATTAATTAAAATATTAAAAATATCAAAAGTAATGAAGACTCTTTCATTTCATTTTTCTCACAAGAAAGAGATTATGATGTCTTTAGTTGAGGAATTTCAAATAATTTAATTATAACAAAAATATTCAAAGACTAATCTATAATATTAATTTAATAATTCAATATCAACATTTTGATTAGCTCAATACAGTCTCAAAGCTACTTGTTCGCAAGATTTGAAGTGTATTTTTTGAGAAAGAATGCAAATTATTTAAGTATTAAAAGGTATTTGTTTTATTATTTTATTATTTTATTTATTCTCAAGTTTTGACATGTTGAGTTAGAGCTCAACTACAACTTATCTTTATACATTTTCTTCAAAATACTAATATAATATTAAAAACAAAAAAAAGATATAAAGATAATTATATTAACTAAAAATAGAATTCCAATTTACTAAATATAGAAAGTAGAGAAATAAAAAAAAGTATAAATCTCAAAGAATTTTGATTGATTAAATTATATCTACTCAGAATAAATAAGTATAAAAATATAAAAAGTATAAAAGTATAAATATATAAAAGTATAAAAATATAAAAAGTATAAAAGTACAAAATAAAAAAAGTATAAAATATAAAAAGTATAGGAGTACAAAGTAGAAAAGTATAAAAAATATAGGAGTACAAGATAGAAAAAATATAAAAAGTATAGGAGTATGAAATAGAAAAATAAAAGTATACAAATATTATAATTAATAATATATAAAAAAATTGTAAAATATTCTAAGTTCTTTATATAATTTTCATAATTTCATGAAATATTACAAATTATAGAATTAATGAATTTTATAATATAATTGTAATAGTATGTATATTTTTGCATACTTTAACATTTATTTTCATCTTAATATTTTCTATTCTTAATCTTTATGCTATTGATATATTTTATATTTTATCTCCAACAAGAATATTCTTAATTCAAATTTTATTATCTTAAACTAATTATATTTATATTAATTTTATTTTTCATCTTAACTTTATTTTCATTATTATTTTTATCTTTATTTTTAATTGTCTTCTCTTATAATTTATTTCATATTATTCAATTTTTCTTTAGAATCTTTCTTTTTACTGCAATTTTATGATTTTTTTCACTATAATTATCTCTTGTATTTTATTTTCTATTATTTTGTGTAATTTTTCAGTTTTTGTTCTTCTTTAGTATTATTGTAAATAGTAATATAATTTAAAATAATTATTAATTTGTAAATTAAAGAAACTGTTGAAAATATATAAAAAAGAGTCTCTTATCTCATGCTCTAATCTAATGAAAATACAAAGTTCTTACATATAATATTATATTTGTAAATATACTATTATTTTCTTGATCATCTTCAAACTTTGACTACAAGTAATAAATGCTTCTCCACTCTAAATAAGTCATTGACTTTAGTATTTTTATTTATTTTAATTTTATTATTTTTAGATCTTGCCAATAAGTTCTGGTTATTTTATTTTTTTATTTTCTTTATTGGCATTCTCAATAACTCCAATTGTTATTTTATTTCATTAGATATTCTCAATAAGACCTATTATTTTCTTTAATAATTATTCTATTTTTATTTTTATTTTAATTTATCTTATTTTTTTATTTAATTATTCCACTTGCCCTTATTTTTATCTTTGATAATAAGTTATACAAGCTATTAAAGGAGTTTTTTAGAATCTTTAGTGAACCTCACTCCATTAATCATAAATCATTCAGTTTTTGTTCTTTCACTATTCAATAGGAAGTTTTGAAAGATGTTAAACAATATTATGAAACATGTTTTTTAACAAAGAATTAGTTGTTCAACACTTTAACTTAATAAAATTAGTGTTTTTTTAATACTAAATGTATTAAACTATATGTTAGTTGACACTTTAGCAAATACATCATTTAACACTTTTAGTATTAAACAAAATTAATTTAATTAAGTAAAAGTGCGTATACTAACGTTGACGTCTCGCTTTTTCATTTCCCGTTGAATTTCTGGCGCTGTTATATCATTTTTTTTGCAAGCTCTGCAATTTGTTTGTCTTGCCTTTGTGTGATGATCCGTTGTCGGCCTGATTTTTGGTTTGTCACTCGGGTCTTTGTTTTCTCCCCATCTTTTGATCCAATAACGCACTGTTTTTTCATCACAACGAACTACTTTTGCCATCTCACGCATTGACAGCCTGTGACCTTTCGGGTGGATGCTCAAAAAAACGATTTCATATCGTCGATTCAACGAAAAAGACATTTTTTTACAGCTGAGATTTGATTTATAACGATAAGCAATACGGGTTTTTTTATTATCGTTATTTAATCTGCCCAAAAAAGGTGATGTACCGTACACATGATATATCGGAAATTACAGGTGCGGGGATACTTTTGACGGGCACTGTATAATTTGT